CCTAGGTATCTAGGCTGAGACAATACCCCTCTAAGGGGAATGGGCTCCCAAAGTCGGTTCATACACTAGGGAAAAATACTGTTTCACTATCAGAGGCCCCATAGACTGCCTAAGCCTCCTTACTGACACCCACATACATGCAGGGGGCCTGGTTCAGAACTATGCTGGTTTCCCAGCTGTCAGTCTGGGGTCCATGAGCTCCCCCTTGTTCGGGGCAACTGTTTCTGTGGGTTTCCTGTGCCTTGTCTTTACCCCTTTGCTCATCACTCCTCCTTCTCTACAATTGGATTCCAGGAGTTTGGCTCAGTGCTTAGCTACGGGTCTGCTTCCACTTCCATCAGCTACTGGATAAAGGCATATAAGGTAGATGGCATATAAGGTAGACATCAACCTCATTATAGGGGAAGGGCATTTAAGGTAGCCTCTCCACTATTGCTTAGATTGTTAGTTGGGGTCATCCTTATAGATCTCTGGACATTTCCCTCGTGCTAGATTTCTCTTTAAACCTATAATGGCTCTCCCTCTCTTATGGTATCTCTTATCTTGCTCTCCTCTATTCTTCCCCTGACTCAATCTTCCTGCTCCGTCATGTCCTCCTCTCTCCTCTTTCTCCTAAACTCCCTCTCCCCTCCCCCACCCCATACTCCAAATTTGCTCAGGATATCTTGTCCCTTTCCTCTTCTCCGGGGGACCCTATATGTCTCTCTTATGGTCCTCCTTGTTTCCTAGCTTCTCTGGTGGTATGGACTGTAGGCTAGTAATCCTTTGTTCTATATCTAATATCCATATATGAGTGAGTACATACCATGTTTGTCTTTCTGTGATTGGGTTACCTCACTCAGGATGGTTTCTTCTAGTTCCATACATTTGTCTGCAAATTTCAAGATTCCGTTTTTGTTTCTTTTTTTTTTCTGCCGAGTAGTACTCCATTGTGTAAATGTACCACATTTTCTCTATCCATTCTTCAGTTGAGGTGTATCTAGGTTGCTTCCAGGTTCTGGCCATTACAAATAATGCTGCTATGAACATAGTTGAGCAGATGCCCTTGTCATATGAATGTGTATCTTTTGGGTATATGCCTAAGAGTGGAATTGCTGGATCTTGTGGTAGACTGATTCCCATGTTCCTGAGGAATCACCATACTGATTTCCAAAGTGACTGTACGAGTTTGCACTCCCACCACCAGTGGAGGAGTGTTTCCCTTTCTCCACGTCCAGCATAAACTGTCATTGGTGCTTTTGATTTTAGCCTTTTTGACAGGAACAACATGGTATCTCAGGGTTGTTTTGATTTGCATTTCCCTGATGGCTAAGGATGTTGAGCACTTTCTTAGGTGTCTTTCAGCCATTTTAGATTCCTCTATTAAGAATTCTCTATTTAGTTCTGTACCCTACTTTTTAATTGGATTCTTTGGTGTTTTGGTGACTAACTTCTTGAGTTTTAGTATATTTTGGTCAGATGTGGGGGTTGGTGAAGATCTTTTCCCACTCTGTGGGCTGCCGTTCTGTCTTGCTGACTGTGTCCTTTGCCTTACAGAAGCTTCTCAGTTTCAGGAGGTCCCATTTATTAATTGTCGATCTCAGTGCCTGTGCTACTGGTGTTATATTGAGGAAGCAGTCTCCTGTACCAATTGAACCTCTTCTAAGAGGTTCAATATGGCTGGATTTATGTTGGGGGTCTTTGATCCATTTGGACTTAAGTTTTGTGCGTGGTGATAGATATGGATCTATCTGCAGTCTCCTACATGTCAGCATCCAGCTATGCCAGCACCATTTGTTGAAGATGCTTTCTTTTTTCCATTGTGTAATTTTAGCTTCTTTGTCAAAATCAGGTGTTCGTAGGTGTGTGAATTAATATCAGGGCTTTCCATTGGTCTGCCTGTCTGTTTTTGTGCCAATACCAAGCTGTTTTCATTACTATAGCTCTGTAGTAGAGCTTGAAGTCAGGGATAGTGATGCCTCCAAAAGTTCCTTTATTATTATACAGGGTTGTTTTGGCTATTCTGGGTCTTTTGTTTTTCCATATAAAATTGAGTATTGTTCTTTCAAGGTCTGTGAAGAATTGTGCAAGGATTTTGATTTTGAAGATTACATTGAATCCGTAGATTACTTTAGGTAGGATTGCCATTTTTATTATGTTGATCCTACATATCCAAGAGCATGGGAGAGCTTTCCATTTTCTGGTACCTTCTTTAAAGACTCAAAGTTCTTGTCAGACAGGTCTTTCACTTGTTTGGTTAGAGTTACCCCAAGATATTTTATGTTGTTCATGGCTATTATAAAGGGTGATGTTTCTCTGATTTCTTTCTCAAACCATTTATTGTCTCTATAAAGTAGAGCTACTGATATTTTTGAGTTAATCCTGTATCCTGCCACTTTGCTGAAGGTGTTTATCAGCTATAGGAGTTCCTTGGTGGAATTTTTCAGGTCACATATGTAAACTATCATATCATCTGCAAATAGTGAAGGTTTGACGTCTTCCTTTCCAGTTTGTATCCCCTTGATTTCCTTTTGTTGTCTTATTGTTCTAGCTAGAACTTCGAGTACAATATTGAAGAGATATAGAGAGAGTGGACAGCCTTGTCTTGTTCCTGATTTTAAAGGAATCGCATTGAGTTTCTCTCCATTCAGTTTGATGTTGGCTGCTGGTTTACTATATATTGCTTTTATTATGTTTAGGTGTGTTATCCCTGATCTCTCCAAGACTTTATCATGAAGTGGTGTTGGATTTTGCTGAAGGCTTTTTCAGCATCTAGTGAGATGATCATGTGGTTTTCCCTTTAGTTTGATTATATGGTAGACTACACTGATAGATTTTCATATGTTGAAACATCCCTGCATCTCTGGGATGAAGCCTACTTGATCATGGTGGATGACTTTTCTGATGTGTTCTTGGATTCGACTTGCCAGTATTTTATTGAGTATTTTTGCATCAATGTTCATGAGGGAGATTGATCTGTAGTTCTCTTTCTTAGTTATGACTTTGTGTGGTTTGGGTACTAAGTTAACTGTAGCCTTATAAAAAGAGTTTGGCAATGACCCTTCTGCTTCTATTGTGTGGAACACTTTGAGGAGTATTAGTATTAGCTCTTCTTTGAATTTCTGGTAGAATTCTGCACTGAAACCATCTGACTCTGAGCTTTTTTGTTTGTTTGTTTGTTTGTTAATTAAATATTATTGTTAAAAGGCTTACTTTTAACTCTAGTTCATTAAGATCTTTTTTAATTAAGATTTTTTTTATTCATTATATTCGGATCATGCACCTTCCTCTCCCCAACCCCTCCCAGATACTCCCCATATCTCTATCCACCCAACTTACGTTCTTCCTCTTGGGGGGGGGGGGGACGAAGAAAAGAAAGATACCAACAAAACACAGAAATGAAAATCAAAACAAAGAGGCAAATGACTAATAAGATAAAAATAATGTCATGGCAGTTGTTTTTAATATTTTATAAATTTGTTGAGAATGTCATACATTTTTATTACATCCACAACCCCCATTTCTCCTCAATTTGCCCATTCTTTATATAAAATAAAATACACAAACATCCACTATCCGAGGAGTATTATGGTTGTTATAGACCGATATTGATCTCAGGGAAGAAGCAATCATCCTCAGTGATATGATCACTGCTAAGTTACCACACACCAGCAAGTAAAACACCCTAGGTGTTTCATACAAACAACCTAGGTAAACTTAGTTACTAAAGAGAAGTGGCTTAGTAGGACTGGGGTAAGAGTACAAAATAAAGAGTGAATATGATCACAAGACCTTATATACATGTATAAAATCAAAGAATAAAAACCCTAAAGGAAAACAAACAATAGAGCATCAGTCACTTCTTAAAAAATATTCTCATGAAAAATTTTACTTAATATAGTACATACTTTCTCAATTCTGCACAAATGTATATCCTCCTTTTAGTCTATGATGTAATATTTTCTAAAATTACTACAATGCCTCATAGTATATTTCATTATTGTATTTAATAATGGTCTCACAATGTAGCTCCAGCTGGCCCCAAACTTGTTATCTCTTAGCTCAGCCTCCTCACTGCTGGGATTACAGGTGTGCATCACCATGCCTGGCAATATTCATTTTCAATATCTATAAAATATTACATTAATTAAGCTGTCATATTTAATTCACTATTCAATATTGGATATTAAAACATAATGTTATTGTTGCAATCTTAAAGCACTTAACCTTATTTTTAGGACTCATTAAGATAGTCTTAGAACTTACTTAAAATTCAAGGCAATAGTTATATATTTGATTATTATTCAGTGTATACTGATCACTAAAATGATCTAATTGGTTGCTAAAATGCTAAAATACAATTAAATATCAATTAAACTTGTCTAAATACTTTAACTCCCTCCTCCTCTATGTCCTTTACTCTCAGGTTTCCCTTTATCCTTTTTTCCTCCTTTCCTTTCACTCTAACTTCCTATCAGTTTGCTTAAAACCCACTTTGTACTTACCCCAGCACAGACTCTATGCTTATTTACATATTCCTAAACCAAACGGATTCTGAGGCATGCCTCTAGCATATAACACCATCAATAAAAATTCTACCAGAGAAAAGTTTAGAACAAAGTATTATTTCAAATAATCTTGATTATTGCTGACTTTCAGACCAAGGTCAAATAAAAAATCTTCTCAAATCCTCTCAATTTAATTTCTCTTTACTGCTAAAGAATTTTTGCTTTTAGTAATTACAAAGGAAACTTCATTTTTCTTTAAAATGTTCGAATCTCGGATTTTAAATGAAAACTAAAACTCAAATATTTAACTTTGTAGTAGTTTCAGAATGAAACATTTGACAACTAAAGACAAGGTAAAAGGCAAATGCTCAAAGAAAAGGTATTAAGGTATTTTGCAACCAACACAAGCTCTGACAGAATTCCTGAGAAGTCCAAGAAGAATGAATTATCACTTTTATGACAAAGCAACCACTATGACATTCCCAAGCCATTCGCAATTAACTGTTTACTTACGTAATAGCTGGATCCACTTGTTTATAAGCATGGGCAGCACAAGAGCCACAGTATGTGTATCCTGCATGGCTACAAACAAAACAGTTCTTAATTTAATCTCCAGGTTCAAAATCAAGGTAAGCCTAAAGAAAATAAAACTTTTAGAAAGAAATGTAAAAACTATGACACATGTAACAGACTTGAATATATAGATTAAAAAGCAATGTAATTAATGATGCAACTTCTAGAAGGTAATAGGAAACGCATAATTGTTTCATACTATATTCCAATTATAAACTTCCAAAGTATTTTTTGGTGTCAGTTATGTAGCTCAATGTTAGAGTAGCTGCTTAACATGTTTAAAGTCTTGTGTTTAATTCCAGCACCAATTTGGGGTGAGGAGAAGGGGGATCAAATGGGTGGGGAAAACATTTGTAGATAGTCAAGGGTCACTTAAGTTGCTAGTTTTTGATACTCCTCTGTAGTGACATTAGCAGAGTATTATATAACAGCATCAAAGCAAATATCCTACAATGATGGTCCTCCCCTCTGCCCTTAGCAGTAAAGAAACTGACATAGCTTCTGTGTATTATGCTTCTCACTTTCTCTCCATATCTTTCTCTTTTCACCCTCTAGCTTCCATATTCAGTCAATTCTCTTATCACCTATAGAACAGCTTTGTTCTCTGATCATTTTTCTTTCTTGAATCACTCCTGCTACATGAGTCTAGACTCACTTCTTTAGGCAGTGTTACAGAAGGGCAAGAGGGACTCTAGGTAGCCCAAGCATAGCAAACATGGCTCTTGGCAGGCCTTGCCCTTCCTCCCCCATAACCTCTGTCCTCCTAAAAACCAGTAGATTACATTCCTAAAGCTAGACACCAAGGTCTATTCCCTTATTTGTCCACTTCCTCCTCCTGAGGCTGACTGACTACCACAGTCCAGCTATCAAAGTATTGAAGTCGAACACTCAAAAGCCGCTTTTGGCTACCTTACTTAATTAACATCCCCAATTAAAATTAAATACTTCATCCTAACACCAGGTTTCACCTTGTACCTTTATAAACTGCCATGTGCCAACGGTGCACATGTCTACTAACTAGCCAGAGGTAGTCCTTTGTGTTCCCACTCCCACACCCTAATTCCATTCCCCTTCTTCATTGCCCTCTGTCTCATGTCTTTGTCTCTTACTCCCTGCCCTTTGTCCCTGTGAGGCAAATAAATCTCTTTTGTGCTGAGAACTTAGTCTTGGGGTGTCCTGAGCCAATATCAGTCCTTTTCAGGTACATCACATGGTAGACCATGAGGTAAGTGTTTTAACAACTAACTCTGAAAGAAGTGAAAACTGCGCATTCATATGTATATATGCTTTTATACAATGTTACTGAGATAAAACAGAAGTATCATAATTTATGTATAATGATAAAAATATGTAATCTCTATTATAAATTCCATATAGCCTACTGATTGTATGATCTCTGATATTATTTGCTGAACTCACATAAACAAGCTATGACTGCAATAATAAAGAACGGAGGACTGGGTGTGATGGCACATGCCATGAATCCAAGCACTACAGAGGCAGAAGGCAGGCAGATCTCTGGGTTAAAGGTCAGCCTGGTTACATAGTAAGTTACAGGCTATCCAGTACTACACAGTGAAAGCCTGCCTCAAAAAACAATAGAGAAAGAAACAGAAAAAGAATGGAACAAATCCAATAATCCCACATCTGGTGATTTAAATAAAAGATGGAAAACCAATATATCATAAGAAATGATTTGGCCAGGCTTTGGTGGCGCACGCCTTTAAACCAAGCACTCGGGAGCCAGAGGTAGGCGGATCTCTGTGAGTTCGAGGCCAGCCTGGTCTCCAGAGCGAGTGCCAAACCCTGTCTTGAAAAACCAAGAAAGAAAGAAAAAATAAAAAAAGAAATGTCTTATATTCATTTTTCACTGCAGCACCACTCACAACCAAAGGAGGTTATGGAATCAACCTGGGTGTCAGTCAACAGATGAATCTATAAAGAAAACTTAATACACAGATATATTCTCCCTTAAAAAAGTCACAAAGACTTGCCAGATGGCTCAGTGGGTAAAGCTCATGTGTCCAACTGTAAGGACTTGAACCCTGATCCCAGAACCTGTGCAAACCCAGTATAGTAGCACACACAATCCCAGGAGTTCAAAGCAAGTTTGCAGGTGGACACAGGAGAATCCCCAGGAGCTCCAGAACCAGGGGGCTCAAATATAAGCAGCAGCAAAAGAGACCCTATCTTAATGGACAGTCAGCCCAACAAGTAGGAATGTGTGTGAGGTAGTTTCTTTGTTAATGGCTGACTTGGCAGGGCCTCTAGGTTGAGTATGAAAGCAAACCGGTAAGCATGAGTTCCTGCCCTGACTCAGCTCAGTAATGGACTTTGGTGTAGAAATGCAAGACAAAAGAAACCTTTTCCCCTCCAAGTTGTTTTTGGTCACTGTTTTATCATAGCAACAGAAGAAAACAAACTAAGATACTATCCCACAACATACATGGATTTTTCTAAAACCACAGAACTCAACTATTGTAGAAGCATAGTTACGGGGAAATAATAAAAGGGTAGCAAGGGTGCCAATGCCTCAGTCAAAGGGCTATGTGATAAATATAGCAACAGTTGGATACTTTGTGTTTCAACTTCACTTAGGACAGATATTAAGTATTACCAACACAGACGTCAGATGTTAGAAGTGATGGATAGATTGACTGGCTTGGTCATCTCATGCTGCATTCAAAACTGTAACATTAGTCTACAACCCCCCCACAAATACATATCATTTGTCAACTTCAAACTTAAAAGGGAATGGTGCAGTGGAGACATACACATGAAGTTCAGTTGTTATAGACAATTTTGCTGATCAGATAATAGTTTTCCCACACTATAAAAACTTTGCCATGGACTAGAAATGTGGCTTGATGATTAAGAGAGATTGTTGTTCTTCTAAAGTACTGGAGTCTGGCTCCTAGCACCCACATGCCAACAGTTACAGAAGATCCAACACCCTCTTCTGACCTCTGAGTACATGGGTTTGATCCCAGCAACACAACAGGGTTTCTCTGTTTAGCCCTGGCTGTCCTAGAACTCACAGAGATCCTCCTGCCTCTGCCTCTTGAGTGTTGGAATTAAAGGTGTGTGCCACCACCAGCAGCCCCAGCAACACATATTTTAAAACATGAAATAAAATAAATTAAAAAAAAAAACCTTCAAGGAGGCATTAATTAGTACTGTATGAGGTGAAGATCAAGAGATTAAGAAACTTACATGATACAGCTTTTTAAGTGGTGGGTCTGGCATCAACTCAAAAATGTCAAAAATGTACAAAGTATTTGGTAGTAAAATACTTACATCCAAACATTAATCTGGGTTCTTTGTGTGGGGTGGGGGCAGGTGTACATATAAGTGCATTCAAATGTGGAGGCCAAAGGTTGTCTTCCTCAATCACTACCCATTTTTTCGTAAAGACATATTAGTTCATTTAAGTGTGTGTGTGTGTGTGTGTGTGTGTGTGTGTGTGTGTGTGTGTGTATGTGTATTTGAGTGTGCACAGATGCTCATGAAGGCCATAAAAGGGTGTTGGACCCTTTTAATATAAGCACAACACAGGTGCTGAGAACCAAACAGACCCTCTGCAAAAAAAAGTTAGCAGTCCTAACCGGAGCCATCTCTCCAGTCCAACATTTGGCTTTTAACTTTTAGCCCAATATACACTCATTTTTTATCAATAATAAACATGCAAAATATCTGGCAAAAGACCTTAAAACTTACGGGGCAATAATGGCTCTAGCAGGTCTTTTCGTAGACTGAACTTGTGAAAGCCAACCTTCTAGCTGGGCATTCAGCTGAGGTCCTATGAAAGACAAGTGGAAAAAAGAATGTATTACAGATAACCATACATGTTGCTCATGTTCATCTTCACTGAAACGCCATAGTAGTAAAATGACTCACTGGGCAATAACATCATCAATCCCAATGTTTAAAGTTTCGATTTATCATAAGTCACTAGCAAACCATATAATGGGGCTAAACACTGACAAAGTAAAATTTGCTTTTTCCATTTACTTCTTAGAAATATTCTTCTTCATAAAGATCAACAATTTATAATTTGAGGTGGCATTTAAACAAAATACAACGAGTAGAATAATCTTAAGTAAATGAAAAAAGTGTAATTAAGTGAATTTGTTTTTTCACAACACAAACCCTGACTTTACTTGATCACTGAAGCAACACCCATGTAGTTGGAAACTCCCACACTCAATGATCCACCCTCTTACTCCTCTATCAGTAACTAATAACTCCATCACCTCAAAAGCTCAATTTCCAACAACAACTCTCTTCACTTCCTATCTTTCCAGTTTACTACTCAAGGACTCCACTGACTTCAACAAATCTCAAGACTTTCTGCACATCCTTCATCCTCTTTGTTCACTTCTTGCCTTATCCAAGGTGAAACAGTCCATCACTATAGTCATCCACTTTTAGATGGAAGTGTAAATATAAATAATATAATACAAATGTAACAGTCAACTTCACTTAAAACAGATTATCTGCACAGCTGGAGAGACAAGTGCTTGCCACACTAGTGTGAAGAACCTGAGCACCAAGCGTAGGACCCACGAAAGAAAGCAGCAGTGCAGTCCTTCCCACTATCCATTCTCTTTTGAAGTGCTTTTTCTTTTTTCTTATGTGCATTTTCTTCAAGGTGTGTTTTGTTTACACACACACACACACACACTCACACACATCTCTCTCACATGACTGTTTGGAGCCCACAGAAGTGAGAAGATGGCATGGATCCCCTGGAACTGGAGTTACAGATGATTATGAGCCACTATGTAGATGCTGGGAATCAAACCCAGGTCCTCTGCAAGAGCAACAAATGCTCTTAACCTCTGAACCTTCTCTCCAGCCTCTTTTTAAACTTTTGAAACCAGTTTTACATATGCTAGATCTGTATTCTAGATAAGGCAATAGCAACAAAGCAATTGAGTTTTCTTGAATACACAAGTTACCAGTACTCAGAGAACAACTACCATCTGTCTTTAAAAGGCAAATCTATTTCAGCACCAACCCCATTACACTGCATTATGCTTGTGTTTTAAAGTATCTTTTGTTAAGAATTTTGGATGTTCTAACATTAAACCTAGCAAATTAACTGGACATGGTTGGTTTTCCTTTTACAGAATCCTAATTATTCTTCCCAAAATAGTCCAGAGATAGTCCACACATTAGAATCACCTGACTTGTTCACTTCAGAAAAATCTGTGGGTGTTGCCAGGGTTAAGTTGTCAGCATGACCTCTAGGGATGGTGCTAAAAAATGTTAACAAGCTCTCCAGGTGACTAACAGACATTGAAATACGAAACATTCTTCCAACAAAGAATTTATTTGCACATGCAACAATGACTTCATCTAAAATATCTGGACAGTTTATGGCTGAAATTTTTTACTATAAATCATAAATTACAGATCTTTTAAATTAACAATAAATTAGCACACACCTCTAAACTATGCTGAAGTCTGAAGTGACCTACACTAGTTCTCAAGATTTACATGTTCACTTTTTCTTTCCTCCTGAGACAGAATCTCACTATACAGCCCTGGCTGACGTGGTTTTAAAAAAAAAAAAAAAAAAAAAAAAGGTAAAATATTAATTAATAGGAGGAGGAAGAGTGGTCCAGGAATAGAGTGGTGAAAATTCCAAGTGCTTGTGAGAACACACCAAGAAAACAAGAGTCTTGTGGACATCAGTTTCTTCAAAATGTGGAATTGATCTTGGAATCTGTTTTTGTGCTCCTCCTATCTGTAACAAGATAGGAGTGAGTTTACTTCAATCACTCATTATTGTTTGTGGTGTTATTCAATTAAATGTTTAAACTATCCTTTAAATGCCTTTATGGGAAAACACATTTGGCCACACACAGCTTTAACTCATGAGAACTTTTCGTAGGTGATTTAGTTTTTTAACCCTCAGAGTATACATCGTCTATGCTCTGAATAAAGCTGGCTACTGCATGAGACTCCAGTCGGGCTCATTTATCGGCCCAGTTCTCCCAGGTCCCATGCCATCGAGAGTGCTGTTGTAAACAGCACTAGTTGTAAATAATGTAAGACTAGTTGTAAACAATGATGTTGTAGACATTATCCACGCTAAGTTTGTTCTACAATAACAACTTTGGGACTGGAGAGATGGCTTAGTGGTTAAGAGCACTGGCTGCTCTTCCAGAGTTGGGTACCCAACACCCACACAGAAACTAAAAACTGTCTTCTAATACCAGCTGCAAGGGATCCAACACCTCATCCAGTTTCCATGGCACTGCAATCACATAATACACAGGCACACATGTAGGCAAAACATTAAAACACATAATAAAATAAAAAATAAATTTTAAAAAATAAAGGCCAGGTGTTGGTGGCACACACCTTTAATCCCAGCACTCCTGAGGCAGAGGCAGGCGGATATCTGTGAGTTCAAGGCCAACCTGGTCTACTAAGTGAGTTCCCAGAAAGCCAGGACTGTTAATATGAAGAAGCTCTGTCTCAAAAACCCAAACACTAAAATAAAATAAAATAAATTACAGTACATAAATCTAAATGATGTTCTGGTAGTAAAAAGTAAGAATCTTTGGGACAGGAAAGGGAACTGAGAATGAACCAAAAACCTGAGAGTCATTTAAGGTGGTATGGTCAAGAGAATGGTTAAGTTGTGGATGTACAGATGATAGCAGCACAAAGAAACTGAGCATCATAGCATGTGTCTGCAACCCTAGCATCAAGAAGGCCAAACAGAAGAATTATGGACTCAAAGCCAGCTTAGAGTACATAGAGTGATCCTGCTTCAGAAAGGGAAGGGAAGGAGAAGGAGGGGGTGGGGAGTGAAGGAGGGAGGGACAAGAAAGCATAAAAGATTGACACCTGGGCACAGAACCAAGAAGATGTGCCAATGAGGGAGGAAAATGATGTAGGAGACATGGGCAGAAGAAAGTAGGTCCAAAAAGCCTTGTTCAAAGCCTTATAAAATTAGCATATAAAAAAGAAAAAAAGAAAAAAAAAAAAACAAGTAGGCAAAGAAACAACCTGGAAACCAACCTCAGATGACTAAAACTACCCAGTGATACAGATGAGAGGCACTCCAGTGTGTCCGAGGATGACCTTGACACACCCTTGAGTAGACAGTAGTAAGCTATGCAGGAAGTCATGCAAAGAACTGCAGGTAACAGCATGCACAGGAATAAAATTTTCATCAACTAATGAGCCAAAGCCCTGGCTAAGCTGGTACAAAGACACCAGCTCTGTACACTGGCGCCCTGGGAGCTGCTGGAATCTAGAATCTACCCCTGGCTTGACACACTTCCTCAGACACAGTAGTGTGATATACCTTGATTAACTGTGCCTGTGCTCAGCTCCTTGCTCAGAAACAACAGAATCTGGAACTCCTCTAGAAATGCATATCTGGGTTATCAGCTAATATTAAAAAGCAGCAATTCCAGAGATAAAGGGAAACACAGTACAAGCAAGGCAAAAATAAAAGATCTTCAGAAAGATTAAAAGCATTCAAAACTCTGTAATGAACAGCAACACAGCCAGGATTGGGGAGGGAGCATCACTCATCATGGATTTTGTGATTATGGAAAAATCGGTTAACTTTGCAGTGACTACTTTTAAGGATTAAAAGCTCTATGTGCTTTAATCCCAACACTTGGGAGGCAGAGGCAGGTGGATCTCTGTGAGTTCGAGGCCAGCATGGTCTACAGAGTGAGTTCCAGGACAGCCAGGGGTACACAGAGAACCCCTGCCTCCAAAAAAAAACAAAAAACAAAAACAAAAGCAAAAAAAACTTTGATAGGACTGGAGAGATGGCTCAGTGGTTAAGAACACTAACTGGTCTTCCAGAGGTCCTGAGTTCAATTCCCAGCAACCACATGATGGCTCATAACCATCTGTAATGAGATCCGGTGCCCTCTTCTGGCCTGCAGGGGTACATGCAGACAGAACATTACATACATACATACATACATATATACATACATACATACATACATACATACATAATAAATAAATAAATACTTAAAAAATAAACTTTGATGACTGCAACACTTCAGGTAGAACCCATGCCTTTAATCCCAGCACTCGGATCTCTGTGAGTTCGAGACCAGCCTGGTCTACAAGAGCTAGTTCCAGGATAGCCTCCAAAGCCAGAGAAACCCTGTCTTGAAAAATAAAAAATCAAAAAAAAAAAAAAAAAAAAAAAAAAAAGGAAGGAAGGAAGGAAGGAAGTGCCTTTACTTGCTAAGCCATCTCATCAGTTCCAAAATATAAAATCTTTAAAGATAAATTTTAGATATAATTATTCATCACTACATGTGGGAGTGGGCCAAGATCATTTAATAAAATTCAATGCCCATTCCTATTCAAAATTCTTTGAAGAGAAGGGAATGTCCTAAATAAGGTAAACACCTCTATGATAAATCTATAGCTACCACCATATTCAACAGTGGAAACCTAAATTCTATCATCCTAAGATCAAACAAGGATATCTACTCTCAACACTTCAGTTCATCTACCCATTGGTAAGCAAATGGATCTTGGATCTATGTTTAGAAATGATAAAAAGTGCATTTCTGACAGACAAGCACTTTCTATAATTTTCGCTACATATTCACATTAAGTTTGTATTACAGGCTAACAATCCTATAGTTAGCTCTACAGAACTCAAGCCAGTATTTCATGTTAAGGAGAGTATAATTACAAATACCAGCATTTGGTTTTAGTAGCAGTTTCCATCTATGGATATCAAAGTAGCTTTTAAACATATTAATTATGGCCTTTCTAAACTATGCTGTTTACTAT